TAGTATATACATATATATACATACAATATATAAAATACATGTATATATACATATATATAGTAGATATACATATATATAAACATATATACATATATATATATAAATATGTATATATACAGATATATTCATATTATATCATATTTAATATATACACATATATATAACATAATACAATATATATATGCATTATATAGTAAATACACTATATATTACACTATATATCATATATCTACATATATATGATATATAAATAAATATATATACACATATAATATATAATACACATTATATATAATATAGTAGTACCTATAATATAATATATATAACATATTTACCATAATAAACACATATACATATATAAACATATCTATTATTACATATATATACAAACATATATACAATATATATACCATATATATACTATATGTATATTATTACATATGTATATATTATACACAATATATATACATTACATGATACAATATATATTCATATACATCATATAATACACGATTAATACATAGATCATATATATAACATATATAAACACATATGTTAATACATATGTATATAGCATATTTACTATGTATTCTTAATTATATATACCATATCATTACAGTATATATAGACATATATATACTAAATAGATCCTATAATAATATATATATATATGTAATACATATATATATAAATATATACATATATATATTAATATATACATATAATACATATTATATAACATATATATACCATATATATCACATATATAATAACGTTATAATATAAATATAATCCATATATACATACATATACACACATATATACCATATATATACTATAATATATACATTACATATATATACATAATACATTATTACATATATGTACATTATACATTATATATACTATAAATATATACATAACATTATATTATAATATATATATACATATAACATATATATACATATACATATATGTAGTAATATATATACATATGTATATGTATGATAAGCTATACATTATATATATATATATTATTATATATATATATATATGTATGTAATATTATCATACAAATATATATACATACAATATACATTCATAATATTATATGTTGTATAATAACAATATATGATGTTATTATAATATATATATATGTATATATATACATATATACATATATATATTCATATATATACATAAACATATATATACTAAATATACAATGTATATATATTTATATTATTATATGTATATATATATATATGTTAAATAATGTTATATATATGTACATTATATATATATATGTTAAATAAATGTATATATATATCTGTATATAATATGTATGTATATATACATATATAAATACATATATATGTATAGTATAGTATATGTATATATATATATATAAATGTATAACATAATATATCATATATATAATACATATATATATATGTATGTATATATATACATATATATATACATATAATATGTATACCATATGTATATAATATATATACAATATACATATATATACATATATATACACATAATATACATATATACATATTATACAACATATGTATAGTACATATATATATATACACATATATTGTATACTACATATATATATACATAGTTTAATAATTATATGCACATATATATATACATATATATGCATATATATACATTATATATAAAATCATCTATATATAAATAATATGTATTACATATATATATACATATACATCATTATAATACAGTATATATATCTATATACACTTATTACATATATATATTTATAATATATACATTATATACATATGTAATATATAAATATATATACACATATATACATATATATAACATATATATAATACAATATGTATATAACAAGATGTATTTATAGCATATATATACAATATATACACATATTATATAATATATACATATATATATATACATATACATACTATTAAATATATATACAATAACCATATAATACCTATATAATACATATATATAGCATATATAATATATACATATATATACATATATATATACTATATATACGACATATACATGTATATATCATATATATGCATTATACCATATATATGCATAATATCATCATATATATATGTATGTATATATATACATTATATACATTATATACATATACATATATTACTATACATATATAATATACATATCCATAAATATATATAATACATATTACATTAAATACATATATATACTCCAAGGCACAGGACAATGTCCAGGTTTCGCTACCGTATAGCAAATTGGCATATCAGGGCCTTGAAACCCGTAGCTTGTCCTTCTGCCACAGGTTACCGACATCTCCAAATACTCTTGTTGAGAGAGTTCATGACCCTGCTGCCAGGCCAATCCGTCTGCTGACTTCATGGTCTGACAGCCCAGAGTTATGAACTACACTACCAAGGTATGTAAAGCTCTCTGTGACTTCAATGTCCTCTCG